AAGGTTTGTTAGTTTAACATAACGATTTTAATTGAGCATCAAACCTCTGAATCACGGTTTCTGTTAAATGAGCATTTATGAACTTTTTAATGAGCATCAACCCTATTTTATTGAGTATTATTGAGCATCGTGATTCACTTTCAATTTAATGAACTTTTAATGAGCATCATGGTTTCTGATTATATGATTTTTTTTAAATTATATCTATAATATAATAGACCCTATGGATTCCAATATACGAACCTAATTTAATACCCCTTTGTCCCACATTTAAGTTTGCAGTTTGACTTTTTGAATAAAACTTTGTTAACTTTGAACATTAATTAGTCAAAAACCGTATTATGTTATAATTCCAAAATAAATTTGAATGCTTCATTTTAATATATGTTATTGAAATGTTAGATTATTATAAGTTTTCGAAGTGTATATTTTTACATATCAATTGTCAAGTGTTAATATTGGAGAGCGTGAAATGTTGACTGTAAATTACTTAATTAAGGGACGGAGGGAGTATTAAACTTTTGGAATATGCATCAAGAAATTTCATCGAGTATCAAGACGTTTTCATTGAGCATCAACTTTTTTCTCTGATCTATTGAACATTGGAACTCTGCAATTGAGTATCATGGTATGTGCTCTAGTATCTATAATCAATTCTGACGTCAATCTAATACTCCCTCCGGTTCTTATTAAAGTTCCCACTTTCCTTTTTGGGATGTCCCTTATTTAAGTTCACACTTCCATTTTAGGAAACAAAACAGTGCAAAACAGTGCCAAACAGTGTCAAACGGTGTCCAAACAGTGCCAAACAGTGCACTCCACAGTAAAGTCAAATTCATTTTCTTAATATGTGTGAAGTCAAACTAAGAACTTAAATAAGAACCGGAGGAAGTATAATATGATACTTTTGAAATATGCATTGATGGATAGTGTACCCGGGGGTAGCTTATCCGAAGGGTTATTGCGGAGAATAACTAGAGAGAAGTCAGAGCAAACAAGAGAGAGAGTCAAATGTATTAAATGAACTCAACGTGCTCTACAAGGTGAATAAGGGCTGCTATTTATAGCAGCCATAAATGCGATGAGAGTACACGTGTCAACAATCTATAGGTCGAGGGGTCACCTCAATCGGGATGACACCGACATATGCATGTGCACCGCATTAAATGCGGTTGGTGGATGTGACGCCGCATTAAATGTGGTGGTTGTCTGTCCCCGAAGGCCCTCTATGGGCGAAGGCTCTGTTTAGCCGAAAGCTCGGTGTAGCCGAAGGCTATCCTCATGCCGAGGGCGCCTATGAGCCAAAGGCTCCTGATTTCTGTTGTTTCCTCCCAGTAGCTTCGTATGCTCAAATGAAGTTGTTCTGTGGAATTTGGAGCCCTCGGCCAAGGAGGTTGAAGGCACTTATATTTGTATTTGTGGGCTTCTTGATACTTGGGCCGCTATGTCTGGGCTTTGTGTGCTCATTGGGCTTTATGGGCCTGAGCAGGAGAAGTAGGAGTCTGTGGGCTGAGGGTCCCTGGGCCATATACTCCATCATGCATTGATATATATATTTTAAAATGAGCATAACACAAATATCAAATGAGTATACATAACTTACCAAATGAACAATGATATGAAAATAATAAGCTTTGTTAGTTATGCATAAAGACATTTTCGTTGAACATCAAACCTCTTCTATTAAGTATCAGAAGCATGCAATTGTGTATCATGGTCTTTGCTTTCTTGTATATAATATGACAATTCAAAAACTTTTTATACGAATCTAATATGATACTTTCGAAATATGCATGAATATGACATTTTAAATTGAGCATAAAACCAGTATCAGATGAACATACATAACTTACACAATGAGTATCGAAAAATTCAAAAACTCATTTGAATTCTCTAATGTGTTGAATATTCATTTGTGCACATATATTATAATGACAAATATAGTAATGACATATCGTAATTTTATATCAAAAAATAACTTATAGTCTTTCGTTATAGAATTACAGATATAATCAGATTCTTTTTATAATGTTTACCCATATATATTTATTTTACACTTTACTCATTTCAGTATAACGTAAAACTCATGTTAGTAATCAGCACATAATATTTAATAAACTAATAAACATTCATGTTAAATTAAAAATAGAAAAACAAAACATTAACACATTAAATATTCATCATAAATTGAAATTAATTGAAATGGTGGTTAAGCAAAAAAGGAAAGAGAAATAGAAAAGAAGAACTACGTACAAAACAAAACAAGGTTAAGAAGGTGGTTAAGAAAAAAAACTACCGAACGAAGCACTGTAGTCCACATAAGCACATTATAGTGATCTAATTATAGCCATTCAAATTAGAAATAATTACAAAAATACTATATTTACAATATACGGAGTAATTGTCTTGTTGTTGTACTATGAAACTATTTGTATAACTACGGATACGTAGATGAGAGAGAGACATAAACAAATAAGTCAATAGGTCCTTCCTTTAAATATAGGATACGGACACTAGGGAATACATGTAAGAGCATCCACAACGTCCAATTGTTTAGAGGCTATTTGGCAACACTGTTTTTCGGCTTATCACGTTTATCAGCCAACTTTTTCACCAAACACATAATTTTGTTTTCGCATGCTGAATTGTGTAATAAGCAGAAAAAAGTAAGGTTGAAGTTATTTTTCTGGTTGTATTGGCTGAATTTACAATAGATGACAATTTTAGTTATTTTTACATATAATTTTTTCTTTATTTTATTAATAAAATATATTTTAAAAATATTTTTTTTCTTAAATCAGCAAAATCAGCCGATGCAGCCACTTCAACCAGAACTTCATAAATTTCAGCAGAATCAGCCAAATCAGTCGATTTTCATGCGACCAAACGGGCTCTTAGTCTAAGAAAAACATGACACGTGATAAAAGTAGACATGGACTAAATATTTTGACGTTTGTAGTCCGTAAATTGGGTTTGCTGACCTATCAAGAAAAAACCTTCACACTGTGAAGAGTATGTGTGCGCATAGACAGGCTTCAACACTTTCTGACTCGGATAAAATGGGCGCTGCTTTTGAAAATTCCACGGAAACGAAATGTTTTCCCTTAAAACTTCCTTCGTGCACGGTTCAGTGGAAGGTAGTACGTCAAAATAAAAACCCAACATTTTAGTTTTATATTAATATATTAATATATTAATATAGAGAATTTATTCCACATGGCACTTTTATGGGCGGTAACACGGTATGCATTGGAGACTTGTTTCATTAATTAATGTTCAATCACTTCACTATGTATTATGTAGATTAGAAAGCCTTTTAATTTTAAACATGTGGCATAATTTTGATAATTTTTTATTGACTAACACGCATTTGAAGGAAATATCTTATGTTTTGGCAATGTTTAACACTTCTTTTGCAACGTTCGTTCATTATTTAAATAATAATAATAATAATAATAATAATAATAATTACTTAAAAGTAATAGAATAAATTTATAGAAATTTGTTTGAAAAATAAAATAGATAAATTTATTTCAAAAAGAAAAAAACATGCCTTTTATATACACATGGTAATTTATGTGCCATTAAGGATGTTTTCTTTTAGACTGTTTTCAATCCCAGATCATATTAGACCAAATCAAATCAAATCATACTTAAACAAACTAGATCATACCAAATCAGACTTAAACAGATCAGACTTGGACAATTATAAATTACATAGTGATAAGACATTTATCAGATCAAACCAGACCAGACCACTTCAAACCAACCCAAAGCAGACTTAAACAGACCAGACCATATCGACCAAACCAATTAGTTTCGGTCCAAAAGATAACATCCCAATACACGCTGCTAGTGACATTATTTAAAATTTATTTCGTAAGTCACAGTTAAAGTATTACCGGTGATAATAAAAAAATGCTTAATTTACTCCTATGGTCTCCAAACAAATTCTCATTCTTCTCTGGATGTCCTAAAGTTAAGCTTACACAGCCTTGTTTGAGAAGATTTATGGGACAAAAGGCGTTGTTACCTCTAAAAAGTACAATATTCGTTACTCTCATATTCTTCAATAAGCAAGTGTGTGTATATACACACATGGAATCGCCTCTAACTACGTAGTGGAGTGTGGAGAGAACACAGGCCGTCCCCAGACAAGAGCCAGAACTGGCTAGTAGTTTGCACTACTATTGAACATATGTCATTAGCTGTCTACTGGGAGAGGAACCTAGATGTAGTGTTGGACTCGGGTCGGGCCGCCCAGCCCGTGGACCAGCCCGGCCCGCTACTGTGCAAGACCGGGAGTCCAGGACCGGCCCGGTTCTCGGGTCCGGGTCGGGCCTAGGCCCGGAGGTAGGGTGGATCCGGGCTCAGGTCTCACATTTGGCGAACCGGCCCGGCCGGGTCGGGTCGGGCCCGGGCCAACTTGATTTTTTTTTGCATTTTTGGGGTTCCACCCGGGTTGGGCTTGATGGTTAGGATGGGTTCGGGGGGGTTTGGGAGGGTGGGGGGTGAGGGGGGGTTGGAAAGCAAAAAAAAATACCCAGACCGGACCCAGTGGCTACCCGGGCATGTCCCGGGTCCACGGTCCACCATTCCTGAACCGCCGGCCCGCCCGGGCCTAGGCCCGACCCGGACCCGAGTCCACCCCTACCTAGATGCCTTATGTCAGTTCCTGCAAAAAGGGCCAATCCGGCATTCCGGCCTCACCCAATCTGCATTTTTTCCGAAAACCAATCGTGAACTGACCAAGAACCAAATCAAAACAGGACATCAGGACCAAGACCCAAACCAGTATGTAGAGCTGTGTGGCAGTTCCAGTGACTGCTTTGGGGTGACCCCGAACCGATCAATCTAGAACCGGACCGTGTCCACAGTGACATGGAGTACAAGTTGCGTAGTATAAATTATAATCTATCATTCTATCATGCCCTAATTTCCATATTAGATATCCCATTGGCTATCAGCTATCTTACCGGCTCAAATCGCCATAGTGTGTAGCCAAGAACCAGTATTGATGTCATTGAAAGCATAAATAACCAAGAATTGGCAATTGCACTCATAGGCGTCATAGTGAATATCATTAAACAGACCATATGTATCCAGGATTTCAGGACAAATATATTTTATCCAAACCACCACAAAAGGCGTTGCGGAATCACATAATATCAACATCAGTTTTCTCAGTAACATATGAGCGATTAGTTCAATCGCGCAAATAATCCTTTGTCCAGCCAGCACCTCAGGAATGCTCAGATGTGGGCAAAAGAAATCACGGTTTCATGAGCATGTTCTTAATATAACTCACAACTTCATCCACTTCGACTGTCCATGCCACTGAAACCGGGGAATAGCCTGACCACGGGTTATTTGAGTTCCATCTATATCAAACAAAGCACAACCAAAGCTCATGTAAGAGTGAAATACAAAATTGTGAATGAACACTATAAAAATAATGGCTACAAAGTGACCTACTTTTTTAGCCCCATGTCCATAAGTGTGTGTCCTGTACATATGCCCTGAGTTTCCACTCTCACCACCCCCTTCCTGAATGAAAAGAGATCAGGTCGGACCAATGCCACGAAACTGACAGGGTCGTGAAGGAATATTCCTGAAAAGAAAGTACTGGGCAATGGTAAAGGATGTTGAAAACTTGAAATATAAAAATATATTGTCAACTATTTATGCAAGTATATACAAATATATTACTTTTTCTTCTGTTAATATTACCAATGAATATATCTCTCTACTTTAACTTTTGGAGTCCAAGTTTGTTAAAGTCAGCCGTTATCTATTCTTAAATAACATGAATATACAACTGAACAATTTCAGTTATTAATTTGTTATATAATTCTGAAATAGTAACCATTACAACGTATAAGTATATTATTGTAAACAATAATAATGATCAAGGATAGACATTGAAGACCGCAAAAGTCAAAATAGAAATTTTAAATAGGGAAAGATGTACAAAAAATCAAATATATACAACCAAAAAAATAAAGTTACAGCCCCAATCTGTCTGCCTCGCCACCACCCACCAAGACAATTCAGGGACAAACAGTCTGTCAAGTTACTAACCCACCGCCTATCAATTTAGTAACTCACTGCTCACCATGTAAATGATCCACTGTTGTCACTGATCCACCACCAATGTCAAGCTACTGGATTTGCAGTGATATTAAGACATTGGATGGATTGAACCAGATAGCCAATCAAAGATGACAGGGAAATGGGAAGGAGCTTCAGCGATTTGCAGTAGTCTCTTTTTTCCAAGTCATATTTCTAAACCTATTTCATGAATCATGAGTAATAATTGGATATGTATTTGGACTCATTATTTCTATACATAAACGTTCAGATCTAATGTGCCAAACCTCCTATACACATTATAATCATTAGCCCCTCGTGATTCAAACAATACATCAAAACCTCATTTTGTTATAACTAATCATGCACGTACTCTGGAATGCCAAATACTCCGTATAACTATCGGGAAAACACACGTTTGGTCTTATGATTAAATGATTAATCAACACGTAAGTTTGCATGTATAGTGTATACCTTAGATATTATATATACTTCTTTTTTTTAAATCCCGAAAACCCACCGTCAAGCGATGTGGTAAATGTCAGGGAACATTTACCGGATATATTGAGAATAGAAAAAATGAAATACAAGGAGTAAGGGTTGGGGTTAGAGAAACAAACCCCATACAGTATAATGTAAAATATGAAAGAGTACAGCGATTTCCGTGTGGCCCATAAGAATTAGCCCGTGGGCCTCCTAATCCGTCCAAGAGTTTAGAGTCCGTCCAAGGTCAGGGAATAAAATGTCGACATAGTAATGCCAAACGTTGTCGAGATATTATATATACAGACACACATATATTTTTTTCATTTTCATTTACCCCAGTGCCACAAAGGCTCCCACCTACGGTGGGGTAAGGGGGGTCGGATGTACGCAGTCTTACCCCTGTACTAAAGCACAGAGAGACTGTTTCCGGATGACCCATAGTGAAAATCCCGTCCAAGATTGCATGGACTGACTGCTGCTTCATAACAAAGAAGCGCAGACAGTTTAGTGAGCCATTTTGCTTTATTCCATCATAATCTCAAGTCAAAAAATAATGAATCTTTGGCTCCATTGCAAATGATGGAAAAACGCACACACACACACACACATATATATATATATATAAATTATATATATAGGGAGCGGTTCCGATAAGAACCATGCTTAACGTGAGAACCATGCACTTTTAACACAATTTGGTGCACTATGAGGCTCATCTTTAACACTTTTTGAACTTTGATCAAAAAGTGCCAACATCTAATAAATGTGGTGGCACATTCGTAATAATTTCATCAACATGAAAATGTGTAAGGTATAAAAAATATTGTGCATCACATTTTCTTAAAAGCGAAGTTCTCATGTTCTCACGTTAAGCATGGTTCTCATTTGATCATAAATCTCTCTCTCTCTCTCTCTCTCTCTCTCTCTATATATATATATATATATATATAGGGAGCGGTTCCGGTAAGAACGGACCCCCAGTAGAGAAATAAGAACGAATCTGGACCGTTGGATTGTATTATGTGGAACGGAAATGTGCATTTGATGAAACTGAAATGTGTATTACATGATACTAAAATGTGCAGAATAAAAATTTAAACTCAATTGTGCATTAGGTGAAACTGAAATGTGCGTAATAAAATGTACAAAAATAACATCACATCGTACCTTTTATTCTGCATATTTCAGTTTCACATAGTGCACATTTCAATTTCAGCCAATGCACAATTCAGCTTCATTTAATGACATTGTATCATACGCTTTGTGTTGCACATTTCAATTTCACCTAATGCACATTACAGATTCATCTGATGCACATTGAATTTCACTTAAAGCAAATCTAACGGTCCAGATTCGTTCTCATTTCTCTCCTAAGATCATGTTCTTATTTGAACCAAAACCTATATATATATATATATATATATATATATATATATAATTAAAATGCCAAAGGTGTGTGTTTCACCAAACATTTACATTTGTCATTCCAGGGTATAACGTGCATGATTAAAGCATAAATAAGGGTTTTGATGTATTTTAACAGAAATTGGGGGTTGACTCATTTCTTGGACCTGTAAACATTGTAAAAGAAAGTATACAGACATAATGAAGATTAGTTTTCATATTGTACCGTAGACACCATCAGACTTGACATGCCAATCCCGATAGAATTTGCATGTGTCACTTATGAACTGGGCATATCTTCCTTTTGACTGCTTCAGCATTTCAAGATCAGAATCTGAGAGGACGTCCAAACCTGGTTATAAGGTAAAGGATCCATGGTAAAAAAGAGTTTCCAGAGGAGAAAGGAAGCACCTGTCAATTGGACTTGTGTTGTAATATTAATGCCAATAACATCAATATTTGCACCAGAGGTGAACACGATATCTGCAGCTTCTGGGTCTCCATAGATCTGATTTTTTGAAAAAAGTTTCATGTGGAAAAATGGCATTGCAAATGAAGATAAATTTGGATTTGGCGTGGCTTTAAGAAAATAAGGGAAACAGTTATTATTTTGAAATCTTAAAATAATGAGAAAAAGCAGTACGGCTCCACAAAAAGGCAAAATGATAGAAAAAGATAAAGAGAGAAAGTAAAGAGCTACTAGAGTTCAAACTAGGAAAGTGTTCATATTTTTGGACAAACGAAAAAATTAAGCTATATCTAACAAAATGGGACAAATACAATATATATTCATGAGAAAGTAAATTCTCATGTCAAGCTCGAATAGTATGAAGTTTGAGATGAGGTGAGCTTGAGTTTGATACATAGATCGAGCTCAAGATAAGCTTCGGCTATTCGGGCTTTGCTCAACTAAACCCCTATGTAATAACAACAGCAATAAGTATGTTAACAAACCAATGGACCATACAGTATGAAGAATGTGAAGTATATGTTTTCTGTAATTGAAACGGCCTGCAAAGAAGGTGACAACTAATTGAATACCGCATACATTAGCTTCCGCAGCCGGATTAACATTGCCCAATGCAAAAAATGCACCGCCGAGAATTACCACTCTCTTCACCTTGCTGGCAAAGGATGAGTCCCTCTTGACAGCCTGAACAATTATAAAATGTGTTGCCTGTAAATATAATACTGGAGTACTAAAGAAATAGTATATTATGTATCACACTTTACCAAAATATTCTGAACTTACCAAAGCCAAGTTTGTGAGAGGTCCAAGTGCGAGTATAGACACTTCACCAGGATATTCAGACACTTTATCAACCAAAAATTCAGGTGCAGATTTCTCAATTTTCTTAGACTTCGGAGGCGGTAAATTTATGTTTCCCAATCCATCTAAACCATGTACAAAGTCTGCAATACGTGGCTCTCCTGTCTGCAAATAGACAAGAGTGAACATTATGCCTATGTAACTGTTTTGTAGGAATGAAAATGGTTTGATGGTTTAGCAAGTATAATCATAGTTTACAAAATTCCTGTTATGAAATAATTTTTATCAAAATGCAGGCAGTGATTGTGTTTGCTTCTGCTTTTCAAAAGTGTTATAGGGATTATAGATAAAGCGCTCAATGTTAAAGCTGGTTGTGTTTGAAAACACGAGTGATTTTTAAAAAGTAGGAGTGCTTGTAGAAAAAATGTTCTTTTGGTGTATTACTTGGGTATATTACAACTAGATAATTTAAAACAGTAGTAAGCACTCTTCTCCTTGATTTCAGATTTTAGCTAGAAAGTGTTTAAATTTAAGCAAAAGCATCTACTTGAAAACAGTATTTTTAGCTTCTTTATTGCAAACAAAAAACAGAGAGGTGTTTCCAAAAAAGCAATGGAAAACAATTACGTAATAATTCGCTTTTAAATTCAAAAAACATCTGGGTGTTTTATATTTTAATCGCCGTCTTGATGTGACCTAGCACACTTTTCTGAAGCACATTGTATACTTATGTATGCCAACCATTCTGAGCTTCACAACCTTTATGTTTTTCATATTAGAATCTAAGCTTGGGATTGGTACCTATTTCACTTTGTTTATTCAAATAGAACTAACAATTTAGTCAGAACTAAAGCAATTATACACTTGTCAGTCTCCTAATTCCAAATTCATTTAGAGGTAATTTTGTGTAAAATGGGAAAGCTAACATGGTTGATTACTCCTCACTGGCAAATTGTGGATAAATAAGGTAACTGATCTGCTCATTGTGGCTAACTTTGTAATCAACTTGATGAAAGAAAGGAAATTCTGTTGGGAGCTGAATAACTGTCAAGAACCAATCACCATCCATCTATGTGTAAACTTCACCGCAAGAAATTTGCAAGCAAAGCAGGAAGAAGAACATGCACGGAACGAAAGTTGAATCATTACCTTCAGGGGTTCATGGCTACCCTCTGCAACTGGAACACCAGGACATCCTGCAATCTCACACTATGCTTTTGTGCAACAAACATACAAAGGTGTTTTTGATCATGAATTTGTCTTGAAATGACAAATGGACTGAATTGAGCTAAGAAGTTAACAAGGCATACCAGAAGTAATGCATTCCGTGTGGCATCTTGTGTATTAACATTACCAAAAACTGTTGTCAATCCCAGTATCTCCAGATGCGATGTCTGGAATGCCATTAGAATTGCCATAGCATCATCTGGATTTAACATAAATCCGGTTAGTACTCAACTACTCACATGAGAAAAGGGGTGAACCTTGTGGAACTTGAAACTTAATGCTGTACAGATTTTAGGCACTAACTTTAGAAAACATCCTTAATTAACATTCTCTAAAGCACTATTTCATGATATGGTTTATTGACTTTTTCCACTTAAGGATTTTTAAATCAACAAGACTGTTTTCCAGATTTGTACAACAGCATGCTGTTTTGAATCTTTAAGGTCATCAAAGGGCTCATCATAATTCATAAAGAATGTAAGAAGTTCCATAAGCTGCCATAAGTGTTGAAAGATATCAACTTAATACCTTCAGCTATTTACATTATTCAATTGTCTTGTTTAAGCAGTGCTAATGTTACACCTCAAAATTTTAGAACTACAATATTTGAGGTTTGGTATGATATACCTTTCAGTTCGGTAGGAACTCAAAATCATATTATAACGCTAAAAGGTTTGCAGTTCCTCCGTCAACTTTTTTTGTGCGAACAAATAAATTTAAAAGCATAAGTAGTACTACCTCAGTCCCATATTGGATGTCTTGTTTTAGTTTGGCACGATTATTAATAAAGTGGTTGAAGAGTAAAAGTTGTGATTTAATTAATATTTGAGTAGAATAAAGTGAAATGATATGAACTACATATTTCTTGCCAAAAAGGAAACAAGACATTCATTTAGGGACAATCCAAAAAGGAAAGTAAAACAACCAATATGAGACGGAGGGAGTACTATTCACTTATAGCAGTTTTATGTCCTGGTCGAAAAGGAATTTATTTTGGGACGGATAGAACATCAAATAGAACCAAATTAAAAAGTGTCTTGTATTAAAAAGGTTAGTACTTTTGTATACTATGGAGCTGAAAGAAAAAGATACTATGAATACCAACCTTTTATATACAGACTACGTTCTTTTCAAACATCATGTTTTCTTATACATCCCTGAGTTAAAAATACTTGTCCCAAAGGGGAACCAATGTATCAAAACTTGATTTTATTCCAAAAATCAGCAAAAGAAGCTAACTTTCACTTACTTTAATGCATGAAACAATATCCTTTTTGGATGGAGCACTATATTTTATTTTGACATAATTCACAGATAATTATTTTCAGGATATGAAACCTACCTGAAGAACCAAATACATATGAAAATCTCAAAGTTTGGACTGAATTACCCTCTAACCGCACACACACAAAAAGAGCTAAAGGGAAAACCAACTTTCCCAAGATAAAGTCACTAAAAAGCTACTACGTATCTTTTAAATAGCTCTTTAAAGATCCAACCACATTACCAAACACGATAAGAATATTCAATCTTTCTACTAGCCAACAAGATTATCGACACTCACAAGAATATCCAAACTTCCAAGTAAATAAAACTACGAATAATATTACTATTAATAATTAGCTTAAATTACAGTAACTCATGAATGGAAGATATAAAATCACCAATTCCAGGATCTGTGTCGATGATGATCTTCTCACGTTCCTTAACAAAAGAACTGTTGGGCAACCCAGAATCAGCAACCGACATGACAGTTTCTTGAAAATCAAACGGATCACACCAGCAATGCAAAAAAATGTGAGAACGGGTCAAACTTGGATCTTAAGATTTCAATGGGTACGGCTATTTTTGAATATGTACGACGTGTATGATTTCTCTGCATAAAAGAAAAATAATGCGAGTTTGGTGAAAAGATAGAATTCTATAACCAGCTCTTCTTATGAGACGAGAAGCTGATGCTTCTATCTTTTCCGTTCTCCCGCACCCAAAACCAGACCACCCAGAGTCCGCCTTTGCCTTGTTGAGGTCAACGTATAGAGATTGTAGACGCCTATTACCTTGCAACACATGGTTCAATTTAAGCGAATAATAAATATAGGAACTCCTCAAAACATTTGAATGTGTTCTAAAAAGGAATGTGATATTAATTTACTTCAAATCTTTTAAATATTTTATTTTAACACAATAAATCTATGAGAATATTATCCGAAATAGTACTAAAAAGGTTTGAAAATTTCAAAATAAGACTGTCATGTTTTTATTCCCAAAATAGGACTAATTACTGTCATGTTTTGGTAGTACCAGACTTCAAACATGACACTATTTTCTAAACTTGGTAGTAATTACTCCTATTTGGGGAATAAAAAACATGACAATACTAATTTGGAATTTTCAAATTGTTTTAATCCTATTTCGGGAACTTTCCCTGAATCTATTAGAACCTACATCTAAAGTAATTAAAATTAAAGAAAAAATGAAATATCTTAATAATAAATAAAATCAAACCTAATTGAATTATTTTTAAGTAAACTACGTTTAATTGTAAGAAGTTGTAGATCCTGTTGGTCCAAAATAGGACGCTCGTATGCTTTTAGGAAAGCTACGTACGACACTCAAGCAAGAATTAGGAAAGTACGAATATGGAAAGTTGGCCAGAAATAGCATATACAAATTGATCCCTCTAATCTGAATTACAACACGCCTTTTATAGGCGTATACGAATCGTAACCGCTACCGATAATAATGACTAATTAATTACAACATTAATACAGAATTAAATACATAATTAATAGCGCATTAATTGCTTGACCGTTACTCTTCCGGGCTGGGAGGTCGGTCGGACTGGCAAGCTCCCCGCTGGGTTGGCAGGCAGGCTCTAGGTTGTGGACTTGGATCCACGGGTCCAAGTTCGGGGCTTGGGCTGATTAGGCTCTGGGCCTAGTCCTATTACTCCATCACGAGTCCCCCACTCCCTTAGTCGAGTAGTAGACTCGGCTAAGAGGGAGTAGTCCAAGTCAGTTGCTTTTCTCCGAGACTAGAAGATCCTCGCCCTTGTCCATGTTGGGGAGATGCCTCATTAAAAACCTTCACTAGGAAAAAACCCAATGGGAAAAAATCCTAATGAAGGGGAAAAGAGTACACCTGATGCCCCCAAGATGAAGCAAGAGGTGAAATCTTCAGCCTTTTATTGCCATGGTCACCATCTGCGAAGAGGATGGCTAGAACCGTTCTTCTCGTCGGGTTCAGACTCATCAAGCTCGTCTTCGTTCAGTCATACCTACGCATAAAAGTAACAAGTGTAGAATAGAGCATCTGGCCCGGTGTCGAACCATGGCTCAGTGTGTAACTGAGTCGGGCTCACCACTTGAAAAGAGTGACACCAAGTTCCAAGGTTAGGCCTCAACCCAGTCTCCGAAAGAAAGATTGAATCCGCGAGTAAGTGAGTCGGACTCCTCACTCGAACGGATAATCCAACCCCAAAGAACTAAAGTATATCAACCTTTTTGAGAAATGTGAATGTCAATTAAGTGACAAAATTGCTCGGAAGAGCGTGACTCTAGGCCCCTAACAAGAGTTCAACTCGCCGCCCGAGGTTAGTAGTTCGAACCCGCAAGTAAAAACTTTTGAACGGGTGACTCGTCCCCCGAGGTCGAAGTGTGATGCACTATGAAGGGGTAAGAGCACGCGAGAACTCGTATTTATGAAGTCAAGAGTGTGCGGTATTAACATGTATATTGGAGCTTATTAATCGTCACACCCATATGACGTGACCCGGTAGCGCGAGTGTGTGTGCTCGACCAGTGTACGAGTGTGTGTGCTCGTCCGGCGTACTTGAGTGATCAGATTTCATAAGTCCGTTTTTCAATGTTAAAATTACACACACTTAACAAGAGTAAAAGCAATACATCACTTAAAATATCTTTTCAAATGTTTCAATTTATGATTTTTTAAACAAACATTTCCACAATTTATGGAGGGGTTTGAACGGTACTTAGCTTTAAGGAGTTTTCTATTCGATCAAAATGATAACCACGATGCCAGGTGTGATTGAAGCCCAAAATTTGACTTTGTCCACAATTTTTGTCTTCCACGGCCCAATTTCATTTCAAAGTAAATGAAGGATGTGGAGGCACTATGCTTGACCTAGTCAACCTTACCACTAGCGGACTGCTTTTCAACGACAGAAGATTCCACATTTATCCGAATGAGATAAATCCATAGGAGCTGCTGGCGATGGTCAGAAAAAAAGGAGACCACAACGGTTACCGCCGTTTGGCTGAACCCCACCTATGGTCGTCACTGGACGGAGGCGGAGGAGAAGGGAAAGAAAAACCCTTTCCGAACCGGAGAGAGCCTCGTTATCCTGCTAAGAGGATCGGCATTGCGCACCGTCGTTTTTGTTGCTCGATCGGGAAAGACAACATGGGCTGTGCCGCTGCCTGTGCGTCTCTGGCTAGCACTGTAGTCTGTAGGAGACGAGGAAGGGCCCTCAACCAGTATCAACGGCAGTGAGAGAGATGAGTACCTCTGGCATCGCGTGCTTGGTTCGACCTCGGATATGTCTTCCGCAGACAAGTGGAGGGAAACCTCTGACGTAGCTACCACCGGGGAGGAGAGGGTGATGTTTTAGCGACAAATACTGTTGATGCAGCTAGAGGAGAGTAAATTGATGCTCTGACCAATGGAATGCGTCTTCCTCGCGCCTGCACTGGAGCCGATTGTTGCAAATTGTCTTCTTCCCCGGATCCAAGCTTGTTATTCCACATTTTTTATGTATTTTCCGATTAATTCCTACTCATGTGACGTGAGAGACGATAAAGGCTCTCAATGAAAGCACCAATGTTGGTCCAAAATAGGACGCTCGTAGGCTTTTAGGAAAGCTACGTACGACACTCAAGCAGGAATTAGGAAAGTACGAATATGGAAAGTTAGCTAGAAATAGCATATACAAATTGATCCCTCTAATCTGAATTACAACACGTCTTTTATAGGCGTATACGAATCGTAACCGCTACCGATAATAATGACTAATTAATTACAACATTAATACAGAATTAAATACATAATTAATAGCGCATTAATTGCTTGACCGTTACTCTTCCGGGCTGGGAGGTCGGTCGGACTGGCAGGCTCCCCGCTGGGTTGGCAGGCAGGCTCTAGGTTGTGGACTTGGATCCACGGGTCCAAGTTCGGGGCTTGGGCTGATTAGGCTCTGGGCCTAGTCCTATTACTCCATCACGATGTTGGTCCAAAATAGGACGCTCGTAGGCTTTTAGGAAAGCTACGTACGACACTCAAGCAGGAATTAGGAAAGTACGAATATGGAAAGTTAGCCAGAAATAGCATATCTGTATTTGAAATTCGAATTGCCTTTTATAGGCGATTACAAATGGTAACTGCCGAACATAATAATGACTAAATTAATTACAACATTAATACGGAATTAAACACATAATTAAGTAGCGCATTGATTGTTGGCCGTTACTCTTCCTGGCTGGCAGGTCAGCCTGGCTGGCAGGCTGGACGCTTGAGCTCCCTCCTGCTGGACTGGACGGTGGGCTTCCCGCTAGGCTGGAGGAAGGCTTCTGACCGGGCTGGAGGCAGGCTCCCGGGTAGGCTGGAAGACAGGCTCCCGAGTAGGCTGGAAGGCAGGCTCCCCGTTGGGCTGGAGGCAGGCTCCCACCTGGGCTAGACCGCATGCTCCCAGCTGGGCTGGACCGCAGGCTCCCAGCTGGGCTGGTGGTCGGTAGGCTCCTGGCTAGGCTGGAAGGCAGGCTCCCCACTGGGCTGGAAGGCAGACTCCCCACTGGGCTGGAAGGCAGGCTCCCGGGTGGGCTGGAAGGCAGGCTCCCGGGTGGGCTGGAAGGCAGGCTCCCGGGTAGGCTGGAAGGCAGGCTGCTGACTGGGCTGGTAGGCAGGCTCCCTGCTGGGCTGGACGGCAGACTCCCCACTGGGCTGGAAGGCAGGCTCCCGGGTAGGCTGGAAGGCAGGCTGCTGACTGGGCTGGTAGGCAGGCTCCCTGCTGGGCTGGACGGCAGGCCGCCCTGGGCTTTCACTCTTTGATGGGCCTGATCGGTTGGGTCGGAATGAGCTCTGGATCACTGGGTTTGGGCCTGCTGGTCCAAGTCCGGGGCCTGGGCCGATTAGGCTCTGGACCTAGTCCCATAACCCCATCACGAGTCCCCCACTCCCTTAGTCGAATAGTAGACTCGGCTAAGAGGGAGTAGTTTAAGTCAGCTGCCGATTTAAAAATATTCACATATCAAGGAACCATAATTGTGGATTATGTGAATCCCGGAGTTTATGGAAATTCCCAAATTAAATCAGGCTCCCAAAAATTCCTTTCCTTTTCTTTTCTTTCCTTTCTTTTCTTTCCTTCGTTTTTCTTTCCTTTCCTTTTTTCTTTCCTTTTCTTTTCTTTCCTTCTTTTTTCTTTCCTTTTCTTTCTCTTCTCTCCCCTGGTCTGCGTCCGTCTTCCTCGCGCCGCACCAGCGCCGCAGTCAACCAGCTGACTGGCTTGACCGGCGGTTTTCTCCCGGCGGCTCCTGGGTCGACCCCCGCTGCGCTCAATCGCTGCTCCGCACCACCGCCAGTGGCCGTCGTCTCCCCTGCAATCCAGCGGATCTGGCCGGCGGGTCTGGACCCCCATGTCCGGCCGACCCAATCCCCTCAGCCGGCGGTCGTTCCATTTCTGGCCGGCATGGTGTCCTCTCAGGCGGACTGGAAGCCCGACGCCCCCCATGTCAGATGGTGACCTTGTCTCAGGCGGCCAGCCCGTCAAATCCTCCGTTGGACGGCATCCCCCGGGCCTTCTTCCCCAACGGCCGGCGTCGCCCAGGAGGCTGGATTACTCCTGAATTCTAGTGGCTGCCGACGTCGATCACGAGGGTATCGGTCACCCCCTGCCGACCGGCGTAGCCATCCCTCTAGGTGGCTAGGCGTCCGCGTTGGCCGGCGGTTTCCCCGACGTCGTTCTTCTATTAGGTGGTGGCAGCCCACGTCGACCCACGGCTGGCCGGTTGTCGTTGTCATGTGGATTGACACTTTGTTACTTCTCTTTTTTTTTGGTTGGTTT